TGCCCTTTGAATGTTTCTGCTCAGCTCTTTTATTTCCTTTCTTCCAGTTGATTTAGCTCCTTTGTTTTCAAGTTCCAGAGTTTCTTTTGACATACATTTTGGTCTTTTTTTCTTATCTTTTTACTGACCTTTTGCTTCCTTCACTGATGATGTCCTTGATGTCATTCCACAGTGTTCCTGGTCTTCAGTCATTAGCATTTAACGCATCAAGTCTGTTCTTGCGGTGATCTCTAAAGTCAGGTGGGATGTACTCATGGTCATATTTTGGCTCTCGTGAATTTATTTTAATTGTTTTCAGTTTCAGCTTGACAACAGTGTTAGCAAAACAAATTATTATAAGTATATATGTATACATTTTATTCTTAATTAATGGAGTCTGATTCAAGCAAGCCATTTGGGATGTTGTATGGTCTATTTGATTCCTACTGTTGAACAATGAATCAATAAATCAGGGTTTTTTGCATTTGTGAGACACTTCACATATGTTTACAAAGGATTGTCACATTCATCATCCATGGGTCCTTCAGGATTATCCCTATGAGGATGTTGTTGTTGTTGTTAAGTGCTGTGTAGTTGGTTCCAACCTATAGTCACCCTGTTTAGGGTTTCTGAGGAGTGGCTAGTGAGATTGAACCACCAGCCTTACAATTCAAACTGACCTTGTAGTTCAGCACATTAACCCACAGCGCCACACCAGGACTCTTATGAGGATGTTGTTGTTGTTGTTATGTGCTGTGGAGTCGGTTCCGACTCATCGTGACCTTGTGTAGGGTTTCCGAGGCTGTAAATCTTTACTGGAGCAGAAAGCCTCATCTTTCTCCTGCGGAACAGCTGGTAGTTTCAAACTGCTGACCGTGAGATTAGCAGATTTTTTTTAATGTTTTTTTTTTTTTTTAATTCAAGGTTTTTATTGTGGATTGAGTGAAAGTTTACAGGGTACATCACCAGTTTCACATTTAACAATTAATATAACTTGTTGCATTACATTGATTATAATCCCCCCCATATACCATCAGTTAAAAGTATTTCTCTCTATCCACTTTAGCTTTTTAAAAAACACACAAACAAAAAAACCCACTCAGGCATATATAATAATTTACATCTCCAAAGGGCACATTCTGTAAGTCTGCTCCTGACCACCAGTTCTTAGTCCTTCTCTTCTTAGTTGAATCTAGAGTCCTCTATTTTTCAATGTTTTATTATGAATTATGTGATAGTTTACATGGGAAAACACTAGCTTCACATTCATCCTATCATATACCGTTACATTGCCATGGTTACAATCCCCTCCATGCATCATCAACCAACCAAAGGGTATACCCTGCACACAGTGGTCATCAGCACACAGCCCCTCTCCCTCTCTGGGTCTAGAGTTCCCAGCCACTCCATCTCTCCACGTCATCGTCTCTGCCTCCATCTCTGGCATCACTGTTTTTCTGGGTTGGGTTCCGCACTCCGCTTTTCTCCCTTGATGGTCCCAGGGACCTCTGCTCCTGGACTGCAAAGTCAATCACTCCCCTCCTTTTGCTACAAAACACTTACCTTTACATTTCCAACCCTCACAGTCAGTTCTGATAGTAATTATTCACTATTGTACCATATGAGTGCTATCCCCATCTCCTTTCATCAGTCCCGTCCAGATAGATTGGATACGACTGAGTGGAGATTTTACCTTCCTTCCGTGCCCTCTGGATCACGGCTCCCTCTTGAAAGCTTGTAAGGCCGTCCCCTGCCCCCATTTTGGGTAGCCAATGTCCAAGTTGCCCATCCCTGTTAGGTATCAATATTTTTCAGGTTAAGAAAGAGAGGTAGAAAAGTCCAAGAATCTCAGACACCCCAATGCAAAGTTTGTACTAATGGGGTTGCTTACGTCCTTAAATGTCCTCACCATGTCATAGTCTGACAGCTTCCCATCTCAACATCCTTTTTTTTAAATGTCATAACAGAACCTTGATTTTTAGCTGGCACATAGTTGTCTGTAACAAAAGACTACACTTTCTAACCTCCCTTTAGGCTAGGAATGGACTTGTGACCAAGTTCTAACCAATGCGATATAAGGGAAGTGTTACATGAGACTTCTAGAAGTCTCTATAAGTAAAGGGGCACAACCATCTTTCATGTCTGCCATCCTGCTGCAGGAACTTAGATGCAATGGAGTAAGCGGACACCAATGACAAGGACAGGGAACATAGCCTACAACTAGCAGAAGGGTGAATGTGGGTCCCTGTTTACTCTGTGGTTTATGCACTCAAAACTGAACTTCTTCAAGTCTTTTTTTTAATTCCAATATTGTTGTCATTGTTAGGTGTCATCGAGTAGGTTCTGACTCATGGCAACCCTGTGAACAGCCCTGGAGTGAAATACGGCCCAGCACCATCCTCCCAATTACTGCTGTGTTTGAGTGTGCTCTGTCAATCCACCTTGCTGGGGGTCGTCCTCATTTTCTCTGACCTTAACTTTACGAAGCACGATGTCCTTCTCCTGGGACTGTCAGATAAAGTCTCACTATCCACCCTTCTGAAGGAGCTCTGGTAGCATAGTGGTTATAAATCAGTCTGCTAACCTCAAGGTCAGCAGTTCAAAACTACCAGCCATTCTGTGGGAAAAAGAGGAGGCTTTCAGCTCCCATAAAGATTTACAGCCTCAGAAACCCAGTACAGGGTCACTGTGGGTCAGAAGCAACGCCACGGCACATCATCACCACCACCATCCACCCTTCTGGGGTATATCTTTATGAAAGAATACTGTCACATCTTTCTTCCATGGTTCAAACAGCTGACCTTTTAGTTAGCAGCTAAGTGCTTAACAATTGTGCCACTAGGGCACATGCTAATCAAAGCACACTGCTGTGGAAGTGGTTCTAACTCATAGCAACCCTACACGACAGAGCAGAACTTCCTCACATGATTTCCAAGGCTATGCATCTTTCCGGAAACAGACAGCCACATCTTTCTCCCACGTTTTCACTGTTAAAGGGGAATTGTCTTTTACCCAGTTGAAGCCACTGTTCATTTGAGCTTTCCTGTTATGAACAGCCCAGCCCTCAGAGTCTGAGCAGAAAGCTACAGTAATGCCTTTACTTGAGACTCTAGTGTTGCGTCCAATTTCAATGATATATATCAGATAGGAAACTGGAAGAACTATTCACAGAATATTTCAAACTATGTGCTTCTCAGTTTTTAACTGTTTTATCAAAACACTTGTCACAAACATACCATTATCAGAGGAATAAAAATATAAAATATTGCTTTCACCAAGATATGATCTATGTAGACAGGTAGAGTCTGCCACACCCACACAAACCTTCGTTTTTCACTGGTTTCAAAAGTACAAAAAAAGAGGAAGGTACATAGTTCATGAGTTTCAATCTGACAGCAATGTGTTCTGCCATCACTGAACAGGATGACAATAATAATTGGTCACATCGTATCTTTGATTTGACAAATCCCTGTGCCCCAATCAGATAAGTTGTTCCTTAAAGAGTCATGTGAGCAGAGTAATATTAGAACTCAGAGTTTACAGAAGTGGAAGCAGTCTAAGAGTGATTAGGTTGTTGTCCCAGAATACCCTCGGAAATCAAGTCTTTCTTCTCCAACTCAACTCTCTCTCATGCTCTCAGCACAACATAGCAGCCTCTGCAGAACACCCTGGGCTTAAACCCCGGCTCTACCATTCACTAGGCAAGTCATTTTACCCTCTTTGTGCCTCAGTTTCCTCATCTGCAATATGGGAATAATAATCTATTTCCTCAAGTTGTTATGCTGATTAAACAAGTTTATATTTGTAAATGACTTGTTGTTGTTGTTGTTGTTGTTATGTGCCTTGGAGTCAGTTCTGACTCATAGTGACCCTGTACAGAGTTTCCAAGGCTGTAAATCTTTACGGGAGCAGAAAGCCTCATCTTTCTCCCACGGAACAGCTGGTAGTTTTGAACTGCTGACCTTGTGGTTCACAGCCTGATTCATAACCACTACGCTATACAATGCCTATCTCAAGTAATTAGTAAATATAGGCTCAGCTATTACTCCAGAAGAAATGGGCCCAGACTTGAATGGAAGAAAGTTAGAACTAAAATAAATAGTGTCACAATCATTTTGAACCAGTAACAGAATATTTCCTTTCTGGTGTTAACATGGGCTGCCATTTTCCCCCAACTAATTAAAGAAATGGAGTCCTGGTGTGGTGCTGTGGGTTAATGTGCCAGACTGCAAAGCCATTTGAACTGCAAGGTCGGCAGTTCTCGCTCACCAACTGCTCCTCAGAAACCCTATACGGGTCGCTATGGGTTGAAACCGACTCAACAGCACTTAACAACAACAACAATTAAAGAAACAGAGAAAATGAACCAGAGGATTTCTCTTACGGTTTCTGCTTGTAGTGTGTGAGGTAGAAAGAGTTTGGAATTTCATCAGGGGATCAGAGTCAAACCAAACTTGTCCATTTATCACTTTAGACAAGTCATTTTACTTCCCTGAAGCTAATCTTTGATGGCAATACAGTATCCTACGACTAGCTATCTCATGGGATGCCTTTTTTTTTTTCAAACTTTTATTGTGACTTGAGTAGTTTCATAGACATGATCATCTGTTTTATGTTCAACAAATCATACTCTTTATTTCATCTCAATGATTGCAAACCCTTCTCTGCAACAACCCTTATCCCACTTCCTCCCTGTGGTTCCTGTTTGCATTCTACCCACCTTTCCATCCCTTCTCAACTTTGTCCTTTTTGATTTTGAATGATTAATCATTCCATGGTGAGTATAAATCTCATTGGATTCATATGAAGATTGAATGATGAGTGCAAGGGAATTTGTTTGGAGACATAAACTACACAAATATTGGACTTTGCTTTTTTTTTCTATAAAGTTGTGGGGAAACAAATACTTAGCAAGTTTAAAACTAAAATGTTGTTAAGGGCAAAACTGAGTATGAATCCATCATTGTTCACTTGTTGACTCAGTGTTAGAAAAGAATTCAGCCAGTGACTGAGTGGTTTACCAGATCTCTGTGGATGAAGCTGTTCCTCTCCAGGTATTCCATCCCTTCACACACATCCTGACACATGCTCAGCAGCACATCTCTGCTAAAATGACCTTGTCTCTGTCGGAGGACATTCAGAAGGCAGCCCCTTTCCATGAATTCAGCAACAATGTAAATGGGTTTTTGTTGTGTACAGACGCCATAAAGCTGTACTAGCTTAGGGTGGGTCAGCTTCCTGGCAAGGCAGATACACATATATATAGTTAGTACAGGAAAAAAACAACAAAAACAACCAAAAAAACTAGCTAGTGAGGGGCCACTTTTTCATTTTAAAAAACGGGGAACAGGAAAGCAGATAACAACTTACATCATGAGTTTAGCTTCTTCTATAAAGTCTTCCTCACACATTGCACCTTCCCTAATGGTTTTGATAGCTACTTTGTACTGCGCTCGCCATTTGCCAAGCCGTACCACTCCAAACAGTCCACTCCCCAGTTCCCTCATGAAGGTCAGCTCTGACGGGTTAATCTCCCATTTTTCTGAAAGGCAGAGGGGGGAAGTGACAACATTTCATAAGGAGAACACAGTGCGGAACAAAGAAACTAGAGCCAAGCTAGCTCACCCTCAAAGTTACAGTCACCAGAAAAGAGCTGTAACATATCTCTAAACTACCAAGGGTGGCTTTCCACCCCTGGAAGGGACATCTGCCATCTTAGCTGTCACAGTACAACCCAGTGATCTCAAGATGGCAACAAGATGCCACATCTTAGGCCAAGAATAATACTGCTTGAAAGTTAATGATACTCTTTTAATCTTTTTTTTTTAAAGTACTTCTTCCTTTGCCACTCTTTCCCTCTAGTTTTTATTTCTTCTTCTTTTAATTCCATCAGGTTGGAAAGATTTTATCCAAACCAAAAATGTTGCCATTGACTTAATTGTGGCTCACGATGACCCATGTGGGACAGAGCAGAACTGCTTCACCACGTTTTTTTGGTTGTAATCTTTTATGGCCTTTCTTCTATAGTAACTTTGGGTGTATTCAACTTTCCGGTTATAGTCCAGGACAAACTGTTTGCACCAAGCGACATCAAAAATAATTTAACCTTCTGTTTAAAAAAGCTTTTGCCGAAGCAACAAAGACAATCAAGTTGGATGACTTCTCTACTGCTCCCATCCTTACATTCCTGTGAGTAACCAACAAAAGCTTTGATTTATTTTCTAAATGTTAAAGCTTATTTTTAATTGACAGACAGTTTTCTATCACATTATGAATAATGATGAAAGTAGAAAACCTATGGTTACTACGGCTGTAAGCATAATTATCTAAAATAAAAACAACATACTACAAGGCTATAAAAACAGTTCCGTTGTGTGAGATTTGATATTGTAATTTGTCTTGTGATGATCAATTCTTTTCAAGGACAATTAGTCAATGCAGCTAAACAATAAGAATTACCATAGCTGAATCCAGCAGTAGTTGGTGCATGCTTCCCTTTTATACTGACTGGGTACCGTAACCTTGTGACAAGCCCTAGAAAACAAAGAGAATATTGCAGTTGAATTCATTCTCAGTTGCTTTGAATGGTTAAGCGCTTAACTGGAAACTCCGTTCTAAAGTTCAATCATCGTTCATGTATCGACCACCTTCTGTGTGCCCATACAACATAGAGCTATTCACAGCAAAGTGAAGAAGAATGTGGGGAGGGGGGAAATCAAATTCATGCAGGGGGATAGCAGGGGCAGTACCCACGGCCACTGAGGTCAATCCTGACTCACAGCGATCCGACAGGAGTGTAAAACTGCTCCCTAGGTTTACACCTTTGCAGAAGCAGACTGTCAAATCTTTCTCCCAGGAACAGCTGATGGGTTTGAACTGACAACCTTTTGGTTAGCAGCCCAATGTTTAATCCATTGTGCCACCAGGGTTCCACAAGGGGTCATAGCAAGAAAACCATTTGCCATGGAGTAATTTCTGACTTAAATTGACCCTTTCTGAGACTATAAATCTTTATAGGAGCAAAGAGCTTCATCTTTCTTCCAGGGAGCGGCTGGTGGGTTCAAACTGCCAGCCTTTTGGTTAGCAGCCCATCATTTAATTAGCAAAAAATCTTTAAAAATGAAGTTATGATTTGCAGTGGTAGCAAAAAGGAAAAAGACAGGAAGGCAGAAAGGCAAAAGGGGAAGCAGGGAGGTGGGTGGTGTGGGAAGGCAGAAAGGGAAGCTGGAAGGAAGACTATGATCCTACCCTTCTGCACATTTTTAGGGAACATACAAAATTAAAATTATATCCATACTTTTATTCATTCAACAAGATCTTCTTTTAAATACTATAGTGTTTATCGGGGATCATGCCTGATCATTTTAGAAACTACTTAAAAATTTAAAGAGGTTTTAACAGTTCACTTACCTGCTGCATTGTGTCTATGATATTCAATAATCTCAGGAATTGAAGCAAACGCATGTTTTTCTGCTAGGTAATACTTCTTTGGAGATGTTGTCGTTTCCTTTATATGGTAATGCCTGAAACCCGATGAACCTTCTCTGTAACAAAAGACAAAATGTGTCAGAACTAAATTGGAGTAATGCAACTTCATTCTTTAATGTTTTCTAGCTATGGCCCCTTTGACTCCCTGCACAGACTTTATTTTCCCACATGCTCTTCTCAACTTCAGTTTTCAAGATAGCCAGGTAGAAGTTTTTGAAGAGGTCACTGGTCACATACTTGACTCCATGAAGAGAATATTTTCAACTCCATCAGTTGAACAGTTTTAAACAGAAAACAGCTAATAACTGCTATATGTTCCTGCTATTGTCCTGATGTGATGCTGTAGGCTCAGCACTGGCCTACAAACCACAAGGTCGGCAGTTCAAACCCGTAAGCTGCTCCTTGGAAACTCTATACAGGGTCACTCCGAGTCAGCACCAACTCAATGGGACTTAACAACAACAATGTAAACGTGGTGAAGCCTAGAGCACTATTCCACTAAAAGTGAATAAATTAAACTTATAAAAGTATAGGTTTCATTTCTCAAAAAACCCTTTGGGGAGAACTCTGTTTTGCTCTTAGTGAGAAAGCTGAAACTGTGCAACATGGGTATGACTTAGCCTTTCTTGAATCTCTCCAGTCTTCTTCCTCCACCCTTCACTGCAATACTTCAGTTCCTCTCTCACCTCAGGGACCTTGCACTGGCAGCTTTTTCATCAGAAACTCTCCCCTCCTTCCAACGTTTGCTGCCTCATTTGTCAGGTTTCAGCTTGGGTGTCACTTTTTAGGACTAACCCAGATGTGTCTGTGCTCCCTAAGCACTGCCAGATCCCAGCTTTGTCCCCTACCATGACACTCACACAGCGCCATGACTGCCTGCTTGCTTCTCTGTAGCCCCTAAGACAGGCCTGTGTCTGCTCTGCACTGTGGTATCCTTAGGGTTCAGCTTCACTCATAGTAACTATTTTCTGAATGTTAATAAAGTTTCTACAGTCATTCTCAAAGATAGAAATAAAGGAAATCATGGGGGAAAGACTGAAACTGTAAGTACAGGAAAATAGCATAGGATTTAGAAATTGAGATCAGATCTTCTCCTTTAACGCTGAGATGCAGCATAATTTTTGAAAATTAGGAAAACATATAAACTCTACAGGAAGTTCAAACAAAAATTCTAAATTGGCAAAATAGAGCAGGGCTACTTACCCTCCAAATTTTGTATACAGAGAGACTGTGTACATGCCGGGCTGACTGGAATCTCTGACCATAAAGCCTCCTTCTTTATCCTAAAAGCCAAGGACAGGAATTTCTTTTTAAACATTCAATAACAAATATTAATGCCAAGAAGATTCCAGAACCCAATCTTTAGATTTACAAAGGATTCTCCTTTGCTGGAAAAATCTGCTTTGTAGTTGTACTCCTGGATTCTCCAATTCCTCTGATTTTCTATTAGTCTTCACATTAATAGGCTCTGAGACTAATGAAGCCTCCTTCACAATTCCCACAATCACAAATCCTCCCTCACACACACTGGTATGAGACATTTCAACATGATAATCTCTAAAGGCACCCCTACAACCAACACACAGGACTTTATAATTCCTTTAGGTCCTGGACATGGGGGAAAATTGTTATGGAAAAATATATTTCTTAGAGATTGAGTTTCATTCTGTACATTACTAAGATTTGTTATAAGCTTTGAAATTGGACTCATTGATCATTTCTATCCACATAATGTTTTTCTTGCAAATGTATCAGTGTTCTTTATAAAAGCATATTTTAAAATCCTTAATCCCCTTGAAAGTCAATGTTTAGTTTCACTCTTCATAAAAGAAGAGGTGGAGGAATAAGTAACTCATGCAGAAAAAAATCTGAAGGCAGAAATCACACAAAATGACTAGACGATAAATCCCCATTAGGTTCCAAACTGAAGATCAAGAAATAGAAGCCACAAACCACAACTACCTCTCAGCAAAAAGCAAGGCGATCTATCTGTAGCATTTAAATCAACTTAAGATGAAAAGTATGATTAATAGTTGAAAAAGAAAGCAAATATTACTCTTACACATGCATAGGTAGAAATAACAAAATTAAATAAGACCTCACAAACAAATCTGATAAAAAAAATTAGGGACAGTAAGCATGTATTATTATAAGTAATTATAAAGGAATATGATATAATAACAATTATAATTAATTGAACTAATAAAATTTCTAGTATTTGTTGCTATTGAGTTGATTTTTACTCATGGCAACCCCTGTGTTACAGAGTAGAACTTCACAATAGGGTTCTCTTGGCCAAGCCACTGAGTGAATCTGAACCGCAAATCTTCTGTTTAGTGTGGTTGTTAGGTGCCATTCCAACTCATAGCAACTGTTGGGTTTGAACCACCATCTTGCAGTTCAAATTGACCTTGTGGTTCAGTGCTTATCCTACAGCACCACGTCAGTCAAGTGCAAACCATCTGCACCACCCAGGGACCTTAAAGGAGTCCTGGTGTGATATGATGGATAAGCACTGAGCTGCTAACCACAAGATTGATGGTTCAAACCCACCAGTTGCTCCTCAAAAACCTTCTATAGGATCGCTATGAGTCAGAACTGACTAGACGGCACTAAACAACAGCAAGGGAACTTAAAAAGGATATTGTTTATTGAGAATTTATTCTGTTTTAATATGTTCTAATAGGTTTCATTCCCTCAATGTAAAGACAACAAAAATCCTCTCAACTGGGCCTGTGAATAACATCATGATCAATGGAGAAAAGATTGAAGTTGCCAAAGACTTTACTTTGCTTGGAGCCACAATTAGTGCTCATGAAAGCAGCAGTCAAGAAATCAAATGACATAATGCAGTACGCAAACCTGCTGCAAAAGACTTCTTTAAAATGTTGAGGAACAAAGAATGCCAATTTGAGGATTAAGGTACACCTGAACCAAACGCATGGTATTTTCAAAAGTTTCATAAGCATGTGAAGTTGGAGAATGAATAAAGTAGACCACAGAAGAATCTGAATCAAACAAAGTCAACCTGCTCTTGATTTCTTTAAGTTGTTGTTGTTGTTGTTAGGTGCCATCCCATCGAATTGGTACTGATTCATAGCACAACAGAACGAAACACTGCCCGGTCCTGGGCCAACCTCACAATTGTTGCCATGCCTGAACCCACTGATGCTGCCACTTTGCCAATCTATCTTGCTGGAGGTCTTCCTCTTTTTCTCTGACCCTCTCACCTTGTTGTTGTTGTTGTTGTTATGTGCCATCGAGTCGGTTCCGACCCATAGTGACCCTGTATAGGGTTTCCGAGGGTATAAATCTTTACGGGAGTAGAAAGCCTCGTCTTTCTCCCGCGGAGCAGCTGGTAATTTCAAACCACTGACCTTAAGGTTCGCAGCCCGATTCGTAACCACCACGCTACCAGAGCTCCTTCCTGCCTACTCCTCACTAAATGGATTTGGACACTGAGGCACAGTAGGAACAATCTTGTCCAGGGTCACAAATCCAGTCTGTCATGCTGACATGAGGCTTCCATTGTCTCCTTCCCCCATACATGTGCTCAAGGACTTTGTGACCAACTGCCCTTCTCTTTCCCTAATATCCTCGAGCCTCAGTTTCCTCACCTGTGAAATAGGTTTGCTCATATTCACTCTACCTACTTCCTGGACTTTAGGGATGAACCGTTGGGGAAATGCTTTATAGATCTTCCCGTCCACTGGCCATGTTGCTGCCCTTTTTTGCAGCTGGCCCTGAGAGTGGCTGGAGGAATTTACATATTTTAAACTCTCAGGCTCTTCATGTTATATTTTCCTCCATTTTCAAATTCCTTTGCATCTACATCTCTGCACAGCTCTCTGTGTGGTAGGATGGAAGCTTTGGGCCATTTCTGAAGCCAGTTCTGCTGCTAGATAAATCTGGTGGGCAGCAAACAAGGCCGAGGCTGGCTGTCCGGCTCCTAGAGGGACAACCACTCAAACTGGAGAGGAACTGGCCTGTGGGGAACTTTAAAATGCCCCACTTGCCTTTTGTAACCTTCTGCTGGCCAGCCTCTGAGCTGCATCTCAGTGCTTACCTGTGAAACCAGGGGTTTCTGAGCCCTGCTCTCAGGAGGCGTGGCTTCTCTTCCTCTTCTCATCTCTCTGCTTTTTCAAAGTATAAGGGTTTCTTTTCTCTATAGTCCTGGGTTCCCATTGGCCTGTCTTCTCAGAGTAGCACTTCCATTCCCCTTCTTAACTAAGTCCCCATTGTCCTCTAGACCTCAGCTTCTCCAGGAAACCTAGCTTTTCCCTCCCAGTCCCTCTCACCTTACCAAACATGATATCCCTCCCTCTCCAGTGACTGGTCCCTCCTGACAATATGTTGTTGTTGTTGTTGTTAAGTGCTGTCAAGTCAATTCTGACCCATAGCGACCTTGTATAAGGTTTCCAAGGAGCAGCTGGTGAGCTTGAACTGCCAACCTTGCAGTTCAAATGACTTTGCAGTCTGAAACATTAGCCCACAGCGCCAAACCAGGACCCCTGACAATATAGACTACAGAAAAAACAACTCCACAAAAGCTTGACTGGTGGCAATAAGCAGGACATAAAATGAGGAAGAATGTCTTTCAGAGTTTAGTACTACTATTAAGTTGTTGTTGTTGTTGTTATGTGCCGTGGAGTCAGTTCCAACTCATAGCAACCCTGTACAGGGTTTCCAAGGCTGTAAATCTTTATGAGAGTAGAAAGCCTCATCTTTCTTCTAGGGAGTGGCTGGTAGATTTGAACTGCTGACCTTGTGGTTAGCAGCTCAGCTCGTAATACACTACACTACCAGAGCTCCTTTGTATGATTATGTTGCTGTTGTTGTTGTTATGTGCCGTGGAGTCAGTTCCAACTCATAGGGACCCTGAACAGGGTTTCCAAGGCTGTAAATCTTTACGGGAGCAGAAAGCCTCATCTTTCTTCCACGGAACAGCTGGTAGTTTCGAACTGCTGACCTTGTGGCTCACAGCCCGATTTGTAACCACTACGCTACCAGAGCTCCTTACTACTGTTAAGTAGAATAACTAAATCATCAATACAGAGAATTTTAGAGATTGTTTTCTAATCCAAGCTCTTTGTCTTACAGATGTGGAAACTAGACTAGAAAGTCAAAGCTAGATTCAAGTCTTCTTACTCAGTCCAGTGTTGTTTCCTCTATACTACATTCTAGCTTTTAGCTTTTAAAGTATAGGAATTTAAATATATTTATTTCTAAAGATAATTCAATCTATTGTTAAAATATTATTTTAAATACCACATAATGCTAATGTAAATTATTTGAAAAACAAATAGCTTCATGGAATAGACATGTTGTGGTTTTTAAGTGCCCTTGAGTTGGTTTTGACTCATAGCAAACCCTGTATAGGGTTTATTAGGAGCAGTTGGTGGGTTTGAACTGCTGACCATGTGGTTCACAGTCCAGTCCTGATCCTACATCACCACACCAGGAGTCCTGGAACTGACACAGAATGCCATAAAGAGAATGAAGCCCTGATACCTGCTACGACACAGATGAAGCGTGAAAACATTTGTTGAGTGAAATAGCTCTGACACAAAAAGACAAATACTGTATGACCCATGTGTGTGAACTATCCCAAATAGCCAAAATCACAGAAGTCAAAGTTTATTAGTGGTTAAGGGGATGGAGGAGAGGGTAGAATGGGGGAGTTTTCCTTAAGAGTCACTTTGTTTATGTTAAAGGCAGTGAAAAACAAATTGGAAATAATGTTGATGCTTGCATGACATAGTGAATGTAAATAATGTCACTAAATGGAACCCATAAAATGGTTGAAGTGGCAAAGGCTTTGAAGGGACTTCAAAAAGTTCATGGAAAAATCAAATGAAAAGAAAATGGAATTTTGCCTCTAGTTTTTTGAAGCCCCCGTGTATATTTTACCACAACAACAACAAAAAATTTTTTTAAGTAAAAGGGAAGACAATATTTCAGTATTATCAAGGTTGTTGTTGCTGTTAAATGTCGTTGAATTGGTGCTTACTCACAGCAACTCTGTATAGGGTTTCCAAGGAGGGGCTGGTGGATTTGCACTGCTGAACTTGCAGTTAGCAGTCCAGTGCTTATACTACAGCACCACATCAGCTAACAATTAATCAGTAGGAAAGAGAATACAGAAAAAATCACCTATTATATATGTATGTGTATATATATATATATATATATATATATATATATATATATATATATCACAGTCATACTCACTTTTAAATGATTTAGGAAAAAACAAAGATTCTAGCTCACATCTTTACTGATGTGATAGTTACGTCTTTTTTTAGGCTTAAAAACAGAGCTCCATAGAACTACTCATTAGGGAATCATCAATATTCATTTGTGCTGAAAGCAAACCCATGAAAGAAGTATACACACTTACTTCACTTTTGAGGAGTTGCTCTGCCTTGCTTCTATTCATATTTCTGCAATACCACCTAAACAGGAAAGTTACATTGAAGGACTTGGGTTTTCAAAAATGCATTTTAAATTTAATCTTTAGGATTAATAAAGTGATATTCCTCATCAACAGCAAACATAATAAATATAGAACAAGAAATTTCAACAAGACACAACTACCACTAACATTTTGATATATATTTCCTACTCATATTTTTTATGAAAACATATATACATACTCTTTCAGTTTTTTATAAAGGTGATATCAAACTATCCTTGCTATATCATAGCCTGAATTATTCTTAGAACAGTCTATGAGAGATGTCTTTATAAATCAGTACAGTTCTATAGATAATTGTATGGATGTATCATGACTTATGTACACCATTTTTATTATTTCCAATTCCTCACTATTATAACTATAGCAAAAAATTAATTTTACTCCATAAGAGTCAAACATGCCTAAAATGTCACTTTACATTTTTGACTTCAATTCAAATGAAATCTTAGCTCAAGGCTCCATCCCACCAGTGGTGGAACATTTGAAGTCTTAGGGTCTAAGACCATGGTGAAGAGCCCTTATCCACAAAAAAATCATCCAATAAGTTCAAAACTGAAGACCAACCAAAATGATCAAACAAAGTGGTCTGATGGTATGTTCTTTGGCCTTTGACTCACAGACTCCTAGAGAGATTGTGTAGGTAGAAACCCTGACCTCTGGACAGAATATCAACAGGCCTCCGAGCCAGGGAGCACACTCGGTGCAAGCTCAGTTGAGTGTGGAGAGGAGAAGAGTGCCTCAGAACAGAAACATTTTCCAAATTAAGGCTACAGCACAAATCACAAGGCAATAAATCATAAACTTCATTCTCTAAGATCTGTATTTGAAATCCTGTGAGTCATAAGGGAAGTTCTCAGATTTCGATAAGGACTATCCAATTTCCAATCCCCTCCTCCCCAAATGATCACTTAGCTCTCAGTCACCCTGACTTAAAATCAAGTCCAAGTTTTCACCTCTTATCATCTTCCTTAATTTTAAGGATATTGCTAAATTTCCCTAAGACATATTTAAGAACAAAAAGGCTATTTTTGGCACATATTGTTAAAATAAGAGAGTGATGTGACTTTTTAAACCTAGTCATCTTTTTCTAGATTTTAAGGCACACTAAAGGAGCTCTGGTAGCGTAGTGATTATGAATCGGGCTGTGAACCTCAGGGTCAGCAGTTCAAAACTACCAGCCACTCCACGGGAGAAAGATGAGGCTTTCTGCTCCTGTAAAGATTTACAGCCTCGGAAACCCTGTACAGGGTCGCTATGGGTTGGAATCGACTCGACAGCACTTAACAACAACAACAATGTGGCAAAAACTGACATCAATAGAGGAAAAAGATTATGTTGGTTTTCTTTTTCTTAAGGAAGTGAGTTAAGCATTGATATACACTACCTCAGAATGACCACAAAAGAATGTTTGGTATATGTGAACCTTGTATTACACCTGGCCACATACTGCTACTTGGCATACAAATGGGGCTTCCTTTCTGGAAAGTATTTTGTGAGCATGCATCAGTTCATTATAAAAAAATTTTTAAATCTTGCTGTCAAGTCTACTCAGATAGTTATGTGTATCAGCATACAATGATACTCCCTAGGGTTTGCAATGACCAAATGTTTTGGAGTTAAATTGCCAGGCTTTTCTTCCATGATGCCTCTTGGTAGATTTGAACATCCAACCTTCTGATTGACGTCTGAGAGCATTAACCATTTGAAGCACCCAGTGACTTCATATCAGTTCATTCACAGATCAAAAAGTTCATACATAGCCTTTGGACTAACACTTACGTTTTAAGAGATCTAGTTTAAGAAAATAAACAGGAAGAGATGATTCCATTCATTTCTATATAATAAAGGTAACTAAAACAGCCTAGTGCCAGCCTAATAGGGAAATTATTACATAAATTATTGAACATCCTTGTGCTATATGCCTGTTTGTACACCCATGACCTTATAAATGCTGAAGTCTCTGTAGCTACCTTATGAAATTATGACTAAGTGAAATGTAATGCCGCTATGAAAATGTTTTCAAAGAATATTTAACTGGAAGAGGTAACATGTTACCTCTTGCAGCTAAATACCCACGGTAACTCATTAAGTAACATAAAGTTATAAAACCATATATACAGCATAATTCAGTTTTTTTAAACATAATTCAGTTTTTTAAAACATTGACAGGGAACCCACTAATGTTGACAGTAGTCATCTCTGCTTGACTGATGAGTAATTGTTTTTTCTTATTTACCGATTTCTATATGAGGGGACTTGGAAAAGTTTGTAGAAAAATTAATTAAAGACAATGGAGTTTTTCCACAAACTATTTGAAGCCCCCAGAAAAATACAATAATCATATATTTATAATATATTCAGAAAGAAAAAGAAAACACGTTTCTTCGAAAGGCCACTCTGGAAAAGTATATTTCTGTTTCTTGAGTGGAAAAACCCACTGCCATAGAGTTAATTCTGGCTCATAGCAACCTTATTAGATGAAGTAGAATTACTCAGGATTTTTATGGAAGCAAACTGCTACACCTGTCTGCAACGGAGCAGCTGGTGGGTTCAACCATTCAGTTACCAGCCAAGCACGTAACCACTGCACCAGCAGGGCTACCCTAGTGCATGAACAAACGAATGGATTATCTTGTTTCAAAATCCAAGTAAGCTGTGAATATTACAGTCTTCCTTACAACCTCTGTTTAAAATCAATTCAATTGCACATGTTTGTGAAACTCTACCCATACATAGTCCCTTCAGGTAAATTTATTATAGAAACACATCCTCACAAAACCTTTTACTACGTTAGGCAGTCATATTAAAGGTATGTTAAAAGCATCTACCTTTTAAAGATATTGAAAAATATCCATTGATCTTTAAAATGACTTGTGTTATTAGGAAAAGGAAAATATTATCTGGTTTTCCCCATTCACAAGGCAAACATTTACTTACTCATATTGACCTAAGTTGTTCGATTTTTTCCCTGTTACATAATTACTTGGGATATATCCTTCACACCTAGAAAAAAAGAAAAAAAAAAACTTTAGATAAAGTCTGCAACTACTTTAACTGGACAGTTTTAAAAAGAAACAAAGATGACTGCCTTCCTAAGATAATTAAAGCATGTTGGTGCTGGGCACCATCAACTTGGTTCCAACACATAGTGACCCTATATAGGGGTCCAAGACAGTAAGTCTTTACAGAATCAGAAGGCCTCATCTTTCCCCCTCCAAGAGGCTTACAGTACATTTTAACTGCTAACCTGTGGTTAGCAGTTCAAAGCTTATCCAAACAGTGCCAGCAGCACTCCCTAATTAAAGTATGTTGTTGTTGTTGTGAAGTGCCATTGAGTCGGCTCCAACCCATAGCGACCCTGTATAGGGTTTCCAAGGAGCAACTAATGAGCTTGAACAACCAACTTTGCAGTTCAAATGTCTTTGCAGTCTGGCGCATTAACCCACAGCACCACACCAGGACTCCCTAATTAAAGTATAATGCTTCCTAAATCTACATATACAACGCAAACAGAATTCTAATAATTCTAGACACGTATAGCATCTGAAAGTTTATAAAATAATTCCACATTTAATCCTCACAAAAATTCTGAGGTAGGTAGGCATTGTTGTTGTTGTTGATAAGTGCCATTGAGTCAGTTCCAACCCATAGTGACCCTGTATAAGGTTTCTAAGGAATGGCTGGTGAGCTTGAACTGCTGACCTTGTGATTAAAACTGACTTTGTGGTCCAGCACATTAACCCATAGTGCCACACCACGACTCCAAATAGGCATTACTGCACCCATTTTCTACTGAGGAAATCAACACTTAGAAAATGAAAAGATTTTCCCAGGTTCCAAGGCTATCAGGCAACAGGTCTAAAACCTGAACTTTGGACTTATGAGTAGGTCCAGAACTTTCCCCAATATTCCACAAGGCTTTTCAGAATTCACAATTTCAAATCTTGGAATATGACCCAAGAATTTTCTATCTTAACAACCTAGTGCAGGATCTTGAGGAGAGCTTGCCTGTTAAAAAGCCAAATTCTTGGGTACTAAGAGATTTAGGATCAGAAGGAGCTCTGGTAGCGTAGTGGTTATGAATCGGGCTGCGAACTTTAAGGTCAGCAGTTTGAAACTACCAGCTGCTTCGCGGGAAAAAGATCAGGCTTTCTACTCCCGTAAAGATTTACACCCTCAGAAACCCTGTACAGGGTTGCTGTGGGTCGGAACCAACTCAACGGCACTTAACAACAACAACAAGAGACTTGAGATCAGAAGATCTGTGACAGGCCCAAGGAATCTGAAATTTTACTCCAACAGATTCGTGTGAAAACAAAAGTTTAAGAATCACTCAAATGTTGGTAGGAGTCATGATTTTTATAAAATACATAAACTCAAAGAATAGAGTAAAAATCTTGTAATTCTAAATCTGAATTTGAAAATTAGCAGAAACTCATAATTTATGAGTATCTGTTGTTAAGTGCTATTGAGTTGGTTCCAACTTGTAAGGATGTGAACAGGGTTTCTAAGGAGTGGGTTTGAACTGCTAACTATGTAGTTAGCAGTCCAGTGCTTATCCTACAGCACCACACAAAGACTTAAGCATATATACATATATATATATGAATGACATGGAAAATGCATACATATGTATGTGCTATGAGGAGTCCTAGTGTGGCGCTCCAGGATAATGCATTAAACTGCAAGGTCAGTTTGAGCAGCATGTTCAGCAGTTCAAACCCACCAGTTGCTCCTCAAAAACCCTATACAGGGTCGCTATGAGTTAGAACCAACTCAACAACACTTAAAAACAACAACAACAACAATGTGCTATGATTCAGAACCAACTTGATGGCACTTAATAACAACAATAATGTATATATATATATGTATATATATACATATATATATATACATACACACATATGTAGAAATGTGTGTATACATGTGGCGTGGTGTTGTGTGTTAATGCACTGGACTGCAAAGTCAGTTTGAGCTGCAAGATCAGCAGTTCAGGCTCGCCAGCTGCTCCTCAGAAACCCTATATACAGGGTTGCCATGGGTTGGAACCAACCTGAAGACATGTAACAACAATGTACTTATTGAGTGCTGGTATGGTGCAGCAGTATAGCACAGGACAAAAGATCAGTTTGAACCACAGGCTGGCAGTTCAAACTCACCAGCTGCTCCTCAGAAACTCTATACTGAATGGCTTATGCATCGGAACCGACCCAACAGCAACAACAACAAAAACAATGTACTGGTGCGGCACTAATGTACCAAAGTTCAAAAACAAAGATGCCAGTTTGAAAACTTAAATAAGCCTGACTCAAGCCATAGTATTTTCAGTTGTTTATATGCATGTGAAAGTTGGACAACGAATAAGGAAGACTGTACAAGAACTGATGCATTGGAGTTATGGTACTGGAGAAAAACATTAAAGGAACCATGGACTGCCAGAAGAACAAACAAATCTGTGTTGGAAGAAGTACAACCAGAATGCTCCTTAGGTGGCCAGACTTCATCTTTCATGTTGTTGTTGTTAGGTGCCATTGAGTCGGTACTGACCCATAACAACCTTATGCACAGCAGAACAGAACACTGCCCGATCCTGGTCCAACCTCACTACTGTTGCCATGCTTGAGTCCATCGATGCTGCCACTTGGCCAATCCATCTCATTGGGGGTCTTCCTCTTTCTCTCCGACCCTCCACCTTACCAAACATGATATCCTTCTCCAGTGACTGGTCCCGCCTGACAATATGTCCAAAGTACAAGAGACAAAGTTTGGCCATCTTGGCCTCCAAGGAGCACTCTGGCTGCACCTCTTCCAAAACAGATTGGTTCTTTTGGCAGCCCATGGCACTTTCAATATTCTCCTCCAAAACCATAACTCAAATGTGCTAATTCTTCTATGGTCTTCTTTATTCACTGTCCAGCTTTCACATGCATATGAGGTTTTTGGAAATACCATCTCTCATATGGTGGACATATTATCAAGAGGGACCAAGCCCTCGAGAAGGACATTATGTTTGGTAAAGTGGAGGGTCAGTGAAAAAAAGGGAAATCCCCAGTGAGATGGATTGGCACAGTGGCAGCAGCAATGGGCTCAAATGTAACAGCAATTGTGAGGAGGGCACAGGACTGGGCAGTGTTTTATTCTGTTGTCTATAGGGACACTATGGGTTGGAACCAACGACAGCGCCTAACCACAACAATATACTGAGAAATGCCTAAAAGCAATGATGATCTGGTAGCATTTAAAATTCTAGTATCCCAAATGTTGTTGTTGTTAAGTGCTGTCAAGTCAGTTCTAACTCATAGCACCTCTGTATAGGGTTTCTGAGGAGCAGCTGGTGGATTTGAACCACCAGCCTTGGGGTAAATAGTCCAGTGCTTATCCTATAGCATCATACCAGGACCCCAGTATCTTGACTATTATCTCTAACTACCATTTCTGACTAAAAGAAGTTAGCATTCCTTGGGAATATGCTAAATCGCAGGTCTGGCTAAGAAAAACATAAGAAAAGTAATTTTATTGAGTCATATTGCAAGGAAGATTAATGAGATCTCTAGATTAAAGGGGATCCCCCTGGAACAAGTGAAACAATTGAAGCAAAAAGAATACTAACTGCAATGAATTAAAACAAATGAAATATATAAGCATCCATAACAGCATTAAAAGAAATAATTGGTTATCACTGTTATCACCAGAGGAAGCTCAATCACCAACTCATTAGTCTGAAAATTGCTAACGGGAAAGAAACAAGCATTCTTCTTGACTTTTCTGTATTAACGAAATCAACCGGCTAATGAGGCAGTTCTTTAGAGAAGTTCATAAATGTGGATGGAAGGATAGAATTTTTAAATGACCCTTTTTTTAAACCCCTAATAAAGTAATATATGGTGCTATAGACTAAGCACTAGACTGAGAACCACAAGGTCAGCACTTCAAACCCAAAAGCTGCTCCTTAAAAACCCTATACAGGGTTGCTATGAGTCAGAGCCGACTCGATGGCACCTAACAAAAACAACAACAATGAAGTAATGGATTTAAGTCACAATTATTAATGGATGCCAAAAGAATTCGGTGAACTGTGAATGAAGAACTTTATGATGGAAGAACAAGGCTGAGCAATCTTGAAGTGCCATTGAGTAGGTTCCAACTCACAAAACCTTATGTACAATAGAACAAAACACTGCCCGGTCCTGTGCCATCCTCACAATCGCTGTTACTCTTGAGCCCACTGCTGCCGCCATTGTGTGAATCCATGTCGTTGGGGATCTTCCTCTTTATCAATGACCCTCCACTTTACCAAGCATGATGTTCTCCTCCAGGGCCTGGTTCCTCCTGATAATATATGTATGTCCGGAGTGTGAGAGACGAAGTCTGGCCATCCTGGCTTCTAAGGAGCATTCTTAGCATCATTAAAAGTAGGAGATATACTAATCACCAACTACTGTGATCCAGCTTCCAGCCTAACTGACATGTTCAAGGAAATCCAATGACACTAAAATCAAATGACACTATGAAGAAGCAATCTGCTTAGTCTAGATCATGAATGATTGTAGAGGGGAAATGGATTATATTTCAGTGGTAAGCACAGGAGGTAGTTTTCTTAATAATAATGCCTAAAAGACACTTACACTACAATAAAGTTGAAAAGACTCACTATTTCCTTTGTATATTATCTTCTGCTTTCGGTTTAATCCCTTGATATCTCTAGCTATTATATAAATAATGTTGTTGTTGTTGTTAAGTGCTGTCTAGTTTGTTCTGACTCATAGCGACCCTATATGGGGCTTCCAAAGAGTGGCTGGTGGGTTTGAACCGCTGATCCTGAAGTTCAAATCAATCTTGCGGTCCAATGCTTATCATACAGTGCCACATGAGGACTCCTATATAATGCTTGCTGTTTAAACCTGGCATGTATTTGTATCTACCTTATATATGTAAATATAGACTATACTTTATAATTAAACTTATATAAAAATCATATACATTATGATTATAAGAAAAAATTGAGATAGACTATATATTAGAAAAATTTTTGGTTTTTATACATAAATAATATGTGCCATATATAGAACTGTTTTAGCTAATTTCATCATTTCCAAGTGTCATATACGTGGGTGCATTACATACATGGGCCCATTGTTTGCAAGAAAATATTGTACTTACTTCACAGGTGCTAGAAATGGGGAAAGGACATCATAAAGTATAATCTCCTCCAAGGTCAAAATAAAACATACAATGGATGAGTGGGAGACCAGTGTAATGCAAGAAAAAGTATACTTGATCAATTTACATGTATAGATGACCATCAACAGTACATTGTGTTACTACAAAGCATTAATGGTCAATTTCATTTACATCCACGTGATCTACTCTCATTGCAGGATAGCATAGCTTATCCTCCTCTTATTCAACACTAAACTCCTACCTTATATACACAAAAAGAAACAGAGAATACTTACCCATATTTATCTCTTGCTCTCCACCAATGAACATCATTCTTTTCTAATATAACATACTCTTGGCCTCTCTCTAATCTGAGATCATGTGCTTCCGTCGCCTGGAAATCATACATGGCAACAACTACTTCTTCACTATTATCATCTTCTTCAGGTGGAATTGGCGGGGGAGGCCGTCGCTAAAAAAAAGACAAAGAAAAAGATGTTTGAGAGTAAAGTATTCTGTTTGTCTGAAGGAAAGCATTAAATGATTTACACATCACTATAGAATCAAGCGGAAGCCTCAAATTTACTTAATATAATCTGGTGTCCCTTCCTGCGAGTTTGAAGATACTACTGGATCACTCATGGGTTTCAGAATACAAGAGATGAGCAAAAGCTGTCATTCAACATGAAAAAGCTTTTTCTCAATTTCAGGGATAGATTTTCAGGGAGAGGAGGGAGTGATATGTGAGTAGAAGCCAAGAGGATTAAGGGGCAGGTCAATGCACTGACTGCAAGTTCAATTTGAACACCAGCTGTTCCTCGGAAACCCTACACAGGGTTGCTATGAGCTGGAACTGACTCGATGGCACTTAAAAACAACAACCATGCAAATGGAGTACTGGTGTGGCTCTGCGGGTTAATGCGCTGGACTGCAAGTTTGGTTTGAACTGCAAAGTTGGTGATCCAATCTCACTAGCCACACTTTGGAAACCCTACACAGGGTCACTGTAAGTTGGAACCGACGCCACGGCACTTAACAACAACAACAACACAAATGGTCTGCAATAAAGAAAAAGCTCACTGTGGGGTCTTTTATCAGGTCTCTTCCCACTCAAGAGAATTCAGACTTCTTTGTGCCTGCTGTGAGCGTGGCACACTGCTTAGTACCGAACACATTTTTTCCCTCATGTATCATTAATACCTTCCCCATGAAATAGCTTTCTATCATTTCCATTTTGCAATTGAGAAAACAATGATTTAAGTAACCCGCCAAAGTCAAGCATATCAGACGCAGATTAGGTGCTGCCTTGTCCGGAGTGCACGTTTTCTTCATTATAGCTCACTCCCCAAGGCACTGAGGTCACTCCTCTGTCCTAACACTGAGCTTTAAAATGGACACATCCCTTTAAAGCTGTGTGCTTCTAATATAACTGTTGAAGCCAAAATACAAGGCCCCACTGATAACATGTGGTGCTACAGGTTAATGTGCTGGACTGTAAGGATGGTTTGAACCACAAGGTCGGTGGTTCAGGTTCTCCAGTTGCTTCTCGGAACCACAACACAGGGTCGCTATGAGCTAGAGTCGACTCAACAGCTCTCAACAACAACTGAGAGACTAGGATACAATTAAATTAATCTTGACATCAAGAAAAAAATCAAAATAGATGATAACTCATCTACGTTTGATATTAAACATGAACCTGGTGGTAGTGGTTATATGTCATGGAGTCAGTTCTGACTCATAGTAACCCTGCATAGGGTTTCTGAGGGTATAAATCTTTGCAGGAGCAGAAAACGTCATCTTTCTCTCACAGAATGACTATAGTTTTGAACTGCTGATCTTGAGGTTAGCAGTCCAACTCGTAACCACTATGCTATCAGAGCTCCTTAAGTATGTCCCTGGGTAGGAAAAGCTGTCACAAGAGTAAGCAAGAGCATCTTCAGTAAACCACAAATGCTTCCAGAAAGTCCAGCCCTCCTACCTTCTTTATTTCTGGTGCGGGAGGTAGTGCTTTTCTTATACCTGAAAATGACATCAACAGAAACCAGGTCAAAAATGCTATGTACCAACAATCAATACAAACAAGATAATGGTTGTTGTTGTTAAATGCCATTGAGTCAGTTCTGACCCATAGCAACCCTGTATAGGGTTTCCAAGGAGCAGATGGTGAGCTTGAACAACCGACCATGTAGTTCAAATGACTTTGCAGTCTGACGCATTAGCCCACAGCACCACACCAGTAAGGAGATGTTAGCACAAACACAAAGACGACAAGCCCACTCTCATGCTTTCACTCTGGTGCTTGCTGTTTGTACCATGATCCTAGAACAGAATTCATCCCGGCCGTCTTTTAGAGCTGGTTTGTATTTCTGTCTTCCTAAGTAGACTGTGGAGTCCTGGTGTAGAGCTGTGGGTTAATTCATCAGACTGCAAAGCCGTTTGAACTGCAAGGTTGGCTGTTTAAGTTCACCAGCCGCTCCTCAGAAACTCTATAGGGTAGCTATGAGTTGGAACTGACTCCACAGCACTTAACAACAACAACAAGTAGACTGTAAATACCACATGTTTTATTCTTTGTATCTCCCACCACTGCACAGATCAGATACTTAACAATTCTTGTTGAATCAACAATGAAGAAAAAAAATGAAAGAGAATACCAAGAAAGATGATTAAGTTTTGGCGGTCTGCCTTCTCCTCTCTAGCCCACAGTACTAGATTTCTGGTAAGCACCTGCACCCAGTTAAAGCCTTTAGTTCCCAGCTAGATGTGACCAGGGACCAAATTCAAATTAAAGAGCTCTCTGTACAAATTGTATGTCATTATTATTATTATTTTTAATTGTGAATTGAGTGAAGGTTTACAGACAAGATCATCAGCTTTACATTCAACAAATCATACACTTCAATCCCCGCCATGCAACAAGCGGTATCCCACTTCCTCTCTGTGGTTCCTATTTGAATTCCACCCACCTTCCTATCCCTTCTCAACTTCGTCCTGTGGGAAAAAAGGTTGCCCTTTTGATTTGGAATGATCGACCATTTCATGGTGAGCATACCTTGCTAGTGTTGTTGTCCCCACTATAAATCTATCTACTGCTTGGCTGAAAATTGGGCCACAAAGATGATTTCCTTTCCAGACTTGAAGGTGGTTGAGGGCCATAATCTCAGATTCCTCCTGTTTCTTTCTGATCAGTAAACCCAGTCTTTTTTCTAATTTTCTGAGTTTTGTTCCACATTTTCTCCCACTCTATCTGTGATCCTCTAATGTGATCCCTTTCAGGACAGTTGATAGTGGTAACCAGGTACCACCTGGTTCTTCTGCTGTCAGAGTCACGTAGACTAAGGTTTACAAGTTCCCTTTGTCCATTGGACTAACTGATTCCAAGTCTCTTCGATGCTAATCACTCTTCTTCTCCCACACATGGAGAGACTAATAGGTGCACCTTAGATAGCAGTTCATGAGCTTTCAAGATCCCAGACACTATTAGCACAAGCAGGATGTAACACATTGTTTTTGCAGACATTGTTTTGTTTTATGCCAACTGACCATGGTGTCCCCTGAGGCTATGGTCCTGAGCCCCCAGGTCCAGCTCCTCATTGCTTTACGATGTTTGATAATATCTAGGAACTTTTCATAATTTTGACTGCTGTATGCTCTATCACAGAGTTCTGGTATGGCACTGTGGGATAAAGCACTAGAGCACAAGGTCGGTTTGAACCACAAGGTCAGTGGTTCACACTCACCAGCCACTCCTTGGAAACCCAAAGCAGGGTTGCTATGGGTCAGAATCAACATCACTGAACAACAACAACCACAATGCTCTACCACACTCATAGTATCATTTTTAGATCTTCCACTTAAAACTTTTCCCCTGGGCACCCTTGTTAACTTCCTCTTTTCTGTTGCAAGGATGAGACAACTAGAACTGGAGCAGACCCTGCAATCCATTTGTAGAGTGACACCTTTCATTCACAGGCCACCCACCACCACTGGCTTATTACATCAGGCTGACGTAACATTTCTCTAGTTTTTGTTGTTATTTATGGCAAGATAGATTTTATACAAACTAATACTAAGCTTGAAGAAAAACGTGGCATCAGGATTGGAGGAAGACTCCTTAAAAACCTGCCATATGCAAATAATACAACCTTGCTTGCTGAAAGTAAAGAAGACTTAAAACATTTACTGATGGATATCAAAGAGCACAGCCTTCGGTATGGATTACATCTCAATGTAAAGAAAACAAAAATCCTCACCACTGGACCAAAAACAAAATTGTTATCAACAGAGAAAAGATTGAATTTGTCAAGGACTTCATTCTTCTCGGATCAACTATCAACGCTCA